TCCCTTAGGCAGATAGCCCTAGTGTGCTTTGCTGTAATCTCAATAAACCAAACCATAAAACAAACTCATGATGTGAACACCTAATTTCTAGAGTTGGTATAATTAATGTGTTTTAGGTATATTACCGAGTGTTCTATGGGCCAGTAAACAACTCGCACATGTTTGATTGCTCATGTATTCATATGCTTTATTTGATCTTCATTTTGCTGAATAGTATCTGCTGGCTGTGAGGAGGTAAATATCAGCCATATAGATTTTTGTCATTTGAATGGACAGAACAGTAATTATGAGCCATAACGTTAGTCAGAAAATGCTTTCACCAGGTCACAAATTTTCCAGTGAGCCATCAAATTTTCATTGAAATGCAGACAACAGAAAATACACATAAGCAATGTGTGATAAATAGACTTATCCAGCACATGTTTTTAAACTATTCTTAGTGTATACAGAATTTGGCTATTACTGATGTAATTGATTGCTATAACCAGAAGTGTGTTTATCTGATACATGAAGTGCCAGAGTGGAGATCAAAGTGATTAACTTGATAGCAATCACCTTTCTATTATCTTCCATTACTAACAATAAAGTTTAAAACGAAAAGCGTGTGAGCGATACAAAACAACACGAAGAAGCGGATGTCACTTGAAAGGAAACCTCACTTTCGCCAATCTGAGCGATAACTGATTCTTGTTTGGCTTTCAGCCTATTTGCCAAGTGAAGATGGTAACCCTATTTCGCCAAAGGCCGTTTCTCAGAACTGTTGCTACAAACGTTTTGTCCCGGCAACAAACAGCTAATGTGATAACGGCTTAACAGCAACAACAATAACGACGACGACCCCGAAATCGTTCTAAAATTATGTATACGTTCTCTGTAGAAGCGAAGAAGACAAACAAGCGCAAGTTTATTATGACAGTTACATTTGTCCCGAGACAGCAATGACTTCTGCTGAAACTCTGTTGGACTTCGTCAACTGAAAGGGATTTAAATGCAATGCTAAAATATAGCACTTAGAAAAATACGCAGTAAATTCAATAACTATTTCAACATTCCCAAATATAAAGTAAAACTACAGATAAAAAAAATAATTACGTACAATGTACGTGAAAATTGATAGTTTGGATTATCCCTGATTTTTAGTTATCCGTGATCTGCTCTCTGGCTAATCGAGAGCACACTGTATGCAATTCAATTTGTACCAAGTATATAATTCATCCAATATTATTATTGAAGTACATGTTAATAACATAATTTCTTTCAAATATGAAACTTATCCAATCCCACTTCCTTGCGTAATTTTTTCACTAATTTTATCGTTCGAAAATCAAAAAGAGAAAATTATACTAATAATTTAATTTCTGAAAAACCTCATTAAAGTAAGAACATAACAAATAAAAAGCAGTTATATATAAACTACAGGAAACTATTACAATATGATTTCTTTAAAAGAAATCTAACATTTCAGTAAAAATATATAGGCAATAGTACAGTATCTATTAAGATAGCTTCCTTTCTGCTTCCCTGTGACTTGAATGTCGCGCGCTCTAATTGTTGTCTCTGCTACTCCTTAGGCCTCCAATCTTCCATAAATAATTACAGAAGGTGAATGGGCAGCTGAATCGGCCGAATCGCAGACTGAATGTCAGATCGTGTTTGCTTCGCCGTGATCGGTCGGCTTTCGTATTACACTGACATACCGTTTAACAGTTGAAAATGTTCATCGTGACCTTCATCGGTAATTTGCGTGCGTCTATCTTTGTTAAAGAGACGAAAACAATCACTGCATGAAAAAATCTATTTTAAAATTTAATGGAGCTTTCGTTCTCTGGATGCATTTTCAGAACCTGATGCTAAAAAGCTAGGGAGGAGAAACAAGCGAGAAAATACAATAGTTCAAGTTCATATTATAAGATATTTTTTCCCTCTTTTCCGCATTCCTTCGTGTGTAATTGGGAGCACACTCGACACGTATTCTGGAGGTCCGGAATACGTACCGCGAAAAGGAGTTGCACATTTTTCACGTTCCTGAATCGATATAACCTAATAATTCTGCAATATCAAATATGTAACTTAAATGTAAAATCATCAAAGATATAAATTGTATACATAATACAAATTTATATTTACATATACATAATACAAATATTAATTTCATGGAGTCAATAAGACAAATTGTACTGTAGATGCATCAGATTTATAACTCAATCCATAACTCATATATAAAATTCATGTATGTAACTCAACTATATAACTGAAATACATTATTCCAAGTATTTAACTCAGTATATTCATATTCAGAACATATGCCAAATATATAATTCATCTATATAACTCATCAAATATACAACTTAAATTACAATTTCATAGTTTTTAAATTTAATAACGTTACAGTTTTAAACTTTTAAATCGTTTAGTTTTTTAAGTTTCAAATTGTTTTAAATAATTTTAAGTTTAATTTAGGCTTTAAATTCTTTGATTTAGTTTTTTAAATGTTTAAATTTTTGAGACGTTTTTGTTAATAAACGTTTTTGAGTTTTAAGATACAGATCAAAGTTAATTTTAATTTAGTTGATTGTAATACGGGTTTAGGAGTGAAAACTTTTTCTTCCAAAGAAGAGACATTTTTATTTGATATTTCTCAAAATTCCTTTATTTTGTATAAAATTCCATAATTTTTTTTCCCAATTTGAAATTTCCTTCTGAAAAAAAAAAAAAAATTTTTTTGTAAATGAATAGACTTTTTTTGGCCTAATTTTAAATTTCATGTTGGTGTGTAAAATTAAAAGTTAGGGGAAGGAAAAATCTGATTTTCTGTTTTTAATTTTTTATTTGAATTATTTAAAATTTGGTAAAAAAATTATTAAGTTTTATTTTTTATTATGTATTTTTATCGAAATTTTTTCAATTTTTTAAAATATCAACAGGAAGAAGAAATTAAAATGAGAGGGAAATTTTTGACTCAGAACTTGATAGTTTTTATTTCCAAAGAAAAAAAATCTATGGTGCTTACTTTTTATTACATTTTACTGCCCACATTAAAGGAAGAGGAGAGAGAAAAAAAAAAAAAAAAAATGCTTGAGGGAAGGCAGAATCACTGCATCTCCTGCCCGTCCTCCTTTTCATTCACACAACCATCCTCCGATGGTCACATGATCATAGTACGCTAGTCCATATATGGAAGTAGCCACGGGCAGGTACGAGTCCTGCTGCTGCTGCCCCCTATCCGAAACTCTGGCCTCTAAAACTGACTGGGCTATCCAATGAACGGACCGTTTTGGAAATGTATCGAGAAGCAATGGAGTTAATTGCGAAACTGAGACATGAGCATGTAATTTATTTTTTTTTTTGCAGAGTCTTTTATTATCGATCGCAATTGAGAAAGTCGCGTATTCGGCTGTCGTTTTTTGCATTCGCGAAAGGCGCCTGCTGGTGATTTTTAATTCGCAGTGGTTTCGAAAGAAAGTGTCGGATATATTTACTGAGGCTCAAAATTACGATTAATATAAAGCAGATAAAAATGCCTAAAGAGAATAATAAAGAGACTAAACTCCGATGAACAGGAGCGCAATAACCGGGTTGCGGATTAAACGAACCTCCTCTCTAGTATTAAATAATGAAGAATTTGTATTGTATGTTATTCGCATTCTGGAAAAACGGCAACACCTAAAGCCAGCATATTTTGGACACATGTAGTCCTCCGCCCGAACATGGACAACTCGAGGCAGAATTTAAAATTTTCAAAGTTGTTTTCCTTATTTATTTAGCTCATACTTTGCACGAACTTAATGGTTTATATATATATATATATAAACTCAGCGATTTAAATACAAAATGTTGCCTATATTTCAAAACGTAACGAACGTATTTGTTTTTCCATTTCGCTCAACAAACAGGGTAAGTTGAAAGAAATGGGTTCTTATTGCCCGAAACAAAATATGTTTATCTTCCACGTGCCAGTGTGTTGTCATTCAAATTAATTTTATTAGAAAACTTATAGTAAATACCTCTGAATTCATAATTTAGAGCTATTATTATGAATTCCTTTATAAGAATAAGTTATAAGTTTATGTAAATTAAAGTTATTTAAATTAAGAATTTTATGTATGTGTATACATATATAATTTTTTAAACTATTAATTAACTTTGAAATTAGCCTAAATTTACATGAATTTTATATTTTAAACTTACCTTACTTTTCACACTTTTAACCTACCTTATTATTGTTATAATTACTTATAAGCTATTTTATAAACCTATAATTAACGTATTCTAATAGTTTGAAATTACTTTATTATTTATCTTTTTAACTCACCACTCTTTTAATTAATTTCTTAAATTTATAAACTTCTTTAATTAAGTTTAGTGTTTGTGTTTGAGATGAAAGGGATTTTATAAACAACACTGCAATACAAAAACTGCTAAAGAAAATATGGGGTGTTTCTCCCCCACCCCCCTAATCAAAAACCTATTTTCTTTTCTTCGATAATCTATTCTATATCTTCCTGAGTGATATTCTCTCAAGACGTTTAAGGGCTCTAACCTTTTTACAGGATTTCCGTCGCCGAAGACGTGCACGACCCTACCCCCCTCCCCTTAACCAATCACCACAAGGATAATATAGAATAGCATAATATAAATAGGCAGAGAGAAGAAAATGTTCCAAAAAAACACACTAATCTTAATCGCTCCCATATAGAAAAGCTCCGGAAAAATCTTTCGGATGTAAACTGACCGAGAAATAAAAAAAGAGGGACTAGGAGGCAGAAAGCCTCCCTCCCCTCCTCCCCATAATTCAGAAAGATGAGAGCTATTGTTGCACGGCGCTCTACTACCGATGTTGTGAACGGAAGTGAACGCTAAAAGCCGCGCTGTCGAAGAGAAGTGAGGGCCAATCAGAGACGCTGAGCTCTCGACCAATCGCAGGGTGTCGGCACTCTCCAGCTCATTATGTGTTCGACTAGTCTATGACCGCAAGCGTCGGCTTCAACTTAGTAATCGTCTGCAAGCAGACGAAGTAATACGGGAGCGTTTGGATACTAGTCAATTCGGCGAAGTACAAAAACTGTTCTACGCCGCCTATTGGTGTGTTCTATCGGTATCTCTCTTTAGCCGTGCATACTCAATGGAGGAAATCTGCTGTGATTCGCAATATATTTTGTGTGTATGATTTTGCTTTTCTAGAGTACTGTGGATTTATTACTACATTTTTGGATTCTTCTTGCTGTGCTGGTTCGAAAATTTTTATTCGAATCTTCGATTATTGTGTGCTCGCTGTGAAAATATTCCATGAGGATTTTCGATCCGTCTTTTTCCGTGCATCGTCTGAGGATGTTTCGGTGAAAAAGTGGATTTCTCCCCAACTTCTTTTTCTTTTTTTTTTTTTTTTCCTTGGAGCAGTTCTAGTGGATTTTCACTTGGAAATGTCTCAGTTGGAAATTTTAACGTTTCTTCTGGTTTTACACCTATCAGCAACACAGGTAAGAACACAGTTAAAATTTTTATAATTGATATTGTTTTATTTGTTTTTTCTTAAATATGTTTATAGGAATAATATATCTAAACATATAATTTGCCATAAAGGATTTTGTAATCAGTGAATTAATTGAATTAAATTAACAATACAAAATAGGCAATCGGGATAAAAAGAAAAAAAACTTTTCTGACGATTTCTTGTCGTATACATAAAATTTTGAAGAAGGTAATAACAAAGAATTCTTTTAGCCAAAATAAAATGATAATGAGGAATTCTTTAAGAACCTTTTGAAAAGTTACATTAATTATAGAGAATTCTTTAAAAATTCTTTGAAAGAGAATATTGTGATGATATGTTAAGTTGAACTCGTTGAATGAGAATTCTTTACAAGAGAATAATAAAATTACAGAAAATTGTTTGTAAAGTGTAATAATAATAATGTAGAATTCTTTAATTCTTTTTTATCTAGAATTTTAAAATCACAGAGAATTCATTACAAATTCTGTGAAAAGGAATAATATAATGAAAAAGACTTTTTTGAGAACTATTTAAACAAAAATACTAAAATTACAGAGAATTCTTTAAAAACTGTTTGAAAGCGAATGCCAGAAATTAACTCTAGAATCCTTTGAATGAGCATAATAAAATTATGAACAGTTTTTAAAAAATCTTTGAAATGGGATAAAATATTTGCAGGGGATTTTTAGGAGGAAAATAATAAAACAGCGGAAAAGTAGGTTTTTTTTTTTTTTTTTTTTTTTTTAATTCTTTGAAAGAAAATAATAAAATTAGTGGGAATTCTCTAGAATTCTTTGAATAAGAATGATATGATCATACAGAATTCTTACAAGGAATTGTATAGCAAATAATATAAATGCGCAGAAATCTTCAGAAGAGAAATAGGTACTAATGAATAAAATTAAAGAAAAGCTTCATATAAAATTATTTTAAGCATTTTCTCCCCTTTTAAGACAGGGAAAGAAAAAATAATTAATCACACTCTAAAAATGATAGAGTAGGAAAAATAACGTGTTTGAGAAGCAAAAATGAGGTATATGAGGTTAACTGTAAGAAAAAAAAAAAAATTTATTATATTGCTATGTTAAGACAAACCTAAAAAAGGTGCTGGAATTTTTATATGTTTATTTTAAAGTTACCTCTTGTATAATATAGTTTTTAATTTGAATCGTTAAAATAAATGGTGTATAGAATTTTTATAGTCAGCATCTACTATTTTATATGATATATATGTAATGGGACATTTAGCTGTTTCCTATAGTTAAAAATATCGTATATTGCACGTTCTTAAATGCTAGAGGCAAATTCAGAAGTCAAACAACAAAAATCAGCGTTATACCTACAAAATGTACTTAAATTTTGTAGGTATAACGCTGATTTTTGTTGTTTGACTTCTGAATTGGTATTTGTTCGGCGTGTTATTGTGTCTTAATTATAGAGGCAAATGTTTAAGCTCGACGATCCAATAAATCGCCATAGCTTTCCTAAAAACGTCAAAAAGGCAAATGAAGATTACAATAAAAAGATTTATAACACTTAAAAAGTAAAAAATACTTAATTTATTTGATTTTATTGACTAGTAAATCCAACAAATGTGCCGTAAATATCTTTTTTAGCTCTTCAGTATTTCAAATATTTATTTATATTTATATTTAAAAAAAAATTCTCTCAAAGACATTAAGAAAAGACATCTTTGAAAGAGAATATTACATTACAATCAGCAATAAAATCAAGCGCTCTAATATACAAATCGCGAATTAAAGATAAATATTGAACATGAAATTTGTGTAGTTGCCATATCTTAGTACTCTCAAAGAAACGTGAGCTATAAAACTTCAAACAGAATTTTAATATTAACATATTGTTAAGATCTATTGCATGAGAATGCTTTGCATCTTGCAACAGACTGAATCTAAGTAGGATGAAATAATATTGCAAGACTTTGTTAATTTTTGCTTATGTGCGCTAATTTTTATATTAAAACTTATTCGTTTTACCTCACTAGTGATTGAACGATCGATTAATACCGTTGAATACTGGGAGTTCGATTCATGAATTTTTTGAAAGAAAAATAGAATTCCCTGGAAGAAGACAGCAAAAATATAGAGTTCTTCAGAAATTCTTTAAGATGGCTTATAAATACATTGTCGGAGAATTGCTTCGAAGAGAATAATAAAATTACATAAAAATTTTTTAGAGGGAATGACATAATAATGTGGAATTCTTAGAAGTAAAATTACAGAGAATTGTATATAAAAATTATTTTAAAGCATTTAATATAGAACTCATTAAGAATTCTTTCGAACAACAACAAAAATAAATAAATAAAATTAGTCTTAAGCAGGCCGCATTGTTGGTTTACTCCATGTGTAATGTAAATCACTTCACCAGTTTCACTTAGATAGTCTTCCACGAAGGTATCCACCCCTTCGCCACATTCCAATAATTTTCTCCATTCGTTTATGAATGACATAGGGGCGACAGAAAACATGACACATTCGGATCTTAACCGAAGAGAGTTTCTCATTTGTTCAGGCTTGATATTTATCACTATGTTCGGGATTTTGAACTTTCAGCCGTAGGCAGAGAAAACGGTGAAATCAATCATACCTGGAGCAAACGAGAATGAGCAAGTTTTTCTTTTTTCGAGGCAGCCGCCGAAACATGCGCCTTCGATTCTTTTAAAAAAAAGAGCTAACTGCAACTCGTTCGAGCCTCTAGCAACAACTGGCGGGGGTGGATTGAGTCAGGGTCACTTGGAGTCGTGTGAAAATAGCCGCGTTTTTGGAACTTCCATGTTTTTGTTTCTCTGCCGTCCTACTTGGTGGCATTTCCCGTCCACCCTCCAACTCTTTCTCCTCATCTGCCTCGATGTGGTCAGACGGGGTTGATAGGGAAGATTTTTCGTGCATTATTTTGCGAGAAAGGCCAACTGCGAAGGGTCGCAATTTGTCTAATGAAGTTCAGACGATACTGAAATCAGCTGGAAAATTTTCCGCCAAACGTGGACCTATTTATTTCTCCGAACTCCGGAAATGGTGAAGAAGACTTGAATAAACGATTATTGAGTTTAAAATTAATTTACCTTAAAAACAATTATTGAGTTCAAAATTTAAAAGAGCAGACCATAAAATCAATTTATTGAGCTCAAAATTTAAATGTTGAAGACATTAAAAACTATCATTGAGTTCAAAATTTAAAAGAGAAGACCTAAAAAATACATTTATTGAGTTCAAAATTTTAATTTTAAAGACATTAAAAAAAGTCACCGAGTTCAGAATTTAAAAGAAAAAAAGGTTTAAAAATGACCATTGAATTTAAAAGAAAAGATCAGAATAAGTAATCAATTGAGTTCAAAATTTGCTTCCCAATGCGTTATTTATGATATAATTTATCAAGTATTAATAAAGAAATCGTCCTCACATCTTTCACAGCGAAATATATGTACTCGCTACGAAAGATGTGAGTGAAAAAAATTGTATTTATATCATCTGACAGATACCATAGCATAGAAAAATCTATTGATCGTAACGGAACGCACTGCACTGCTGCCATCTATAAGCGGAAATTCTCATTTCGGTAGTATGCCGGTATGGTCAGTGCACATTACCCTAATTTGCTAGACCCCTCCCTCCCCGTACTCTGTTAGAAAACCGTATCCGTTTTACACGAGCAGCCTTAAGATAATTATTTCTTATTTTTAGTTAAAAAAAAAAAAAAAAAAAAAAAAAAAAACAATTATTTAGCGTGTATTTTAACCTGAAAATAAAAATTATCATTGAGATCCCTTAATTATCATTATTATCATTCTTATGCAGCATCTTTTGTATCCTAAGTATATTATATATATATGTGTGTGTGTGTGAGGTGATCATACATGCAACAAAACCTCCAAAAATGCATAATCATGCTATCATATGTATGACGCCGTTTTATTGTCAAAATAATACGATATTATGTTCTTTGGAGTTCTCTTTTTATTATTACTTTTTATTTATTAATAGCTCCTAATGTTTTAAAATACAGTCTACTTCGAATAGTTTCGATCTTTTTATGACTGTTAATGAATTAATTTTTTTTTTTTTTTTTTTTTTTTTTTTTTTTTATGAAAGACATACTGTAATCGAACCGACCATTTAATACACTCAGTTCTCATTCAAATTCTACATGGAAAAGTTTCTTTCAAGTTCTAGTTGCCGTTATATAACTGTAATATAGATATTAAAAATATCAAATTTTCGTTGCATTTTGTTTGTAAATGCACGGACATTTATTTGCATTATCTTTTTCTTACAATAGTTTTTGTTTGTAGTAACGTTATGGTAAATTCTTTTTGAAGATTTATAGCAAAAGACTTTATAAAATAAGATATGAATTTTTTGGTTTGGATATTGTCAATAATATTTTCTTGTACATATAGTAGGTTCTTGATTAAAAGGCTGCGTAATAACGGGGCTTGCTTAAAAAAAAAAATATGCATTACGAAATGGAAGAATTACCATCATAAAACTTTCAGTGACATTACTCAATTTCTTGCAAATATTGTTCTTTACTGGTTTGTAAATATTGTTCTATGATTTAGTTTGTAAATGAAATTTTCGAAAACAAATATTGAATATAATATTTCTGCGTTTTTTACAATCTAAGTTACAGAACTTGAATATTGTTTTGTAATTTGTTTTAAATTTTATTGTAAGTTATGTAATTAGTATTCTAAAATAATAAATAAATTTATAGCTATTTACAGTTTATAGTTTTATTTAGTATGTAAATAAATTTATAAATTATTAGCGTCTTAAAAGTAAGCGTTAGTGACACTCTCATGTAACGTGTAGAGAAAGTTCGTACAACGTTCTAAACACAACACTAACAAGAACGCTCTAAATTGCATCTACATATATATTACAGTTCTATAACGTGCAAAAAGTATGTTAGAGTGCTCGTACAGCATTTTAAAAGGACGTTTTAAATTACATTACGCTGGTAAATCGGGAGTTGAATATTATAGTTTAATTAATAACAATAATTAAGTTCTATAGTTGGAAAATAACATAATATATGAATGGAAAAATTTTCAAAATTTATGTACGAAATGTTGTTTGAAAATCATTTTTTCATGCATTTCCGATACTGCAACCACCTGCAAATTAAGAGATTTAATTATAAAAGCATAAATTAATATCGTCACATGATCCAATGTGCTTCGAATACAAGATTCCATTTGTTGATATCCGTGACCCAATTACACGGATAGCCAAACTATCATAATATTATTCCCTTTGATTCCACGCCGGCGCATTTTGTTGACTTGTCCAGAAATAACAACAAATTATTGCATATCAATTACAAGAGACCGTTTAGCAGGCATGCGAGAACCGAATGCTAATACGAACCGGCACGCAGTTCTTTGCAGTAGTCGAAACTGTGGACGGATCATTCGGCATTCTTAGCAACGTTTCGCATGGTCCAGCGCTTCACACCTACTTATTATGCCTAATTATAATGACTTTCCTAAACTATCAGACGATATTTCTCGTCCCGTCACAGGCAGACCTATAGCTATCGAGACTCGGAGCCACCTTTATTGGAATGATTACTATACAAAATATCAACTCAAGTATATAATTAATACTTATTAAGTAAAATGATTTGGAGAACAAAGAAATAGAAAAAAAAAACAGCGTACATCTAGAAGAAAATGTGTATTTAAAAAAAATACATTAATTGTTCCTTTTTTACGTTTTAAAAAAGCTTTTTCAACTTTTCTTTTAATTAAAAAAAAAAAAAAAAGATCAAAACTGTTTTTCACCTCTGAAAATATTTTAATCGTTTCATGAAAATTAATATGTTCAGCTACTGTATCTTCAGTGGAAAGGATTGCGTAGCTTGACTACTGTTGATAAAAGAGTGCTTTTAATCAATTTCAAGTTTAAAAAGCTTCTCTCGCAAGAAACATCTGAGCCAAAAGAGTCTTTAGTGCCAGATATAAGTTAGGGACTCGTTCGTGAGAGTCCATTTCCACGATAAACTTTAACATTTTTAACATGTAACACTTGTAAGAAGTATTTCAGCCATTATACCATCATAGACTCTAAACTGTCAAACTAACAAACCTTCCTAGACTGTCAAAGGAATTTTTGTCTTGTCATATTTAAAGCAGAATAACACAAAACGGTTACCACAGTCATAAAAATTAACTGCAACACTTACTTTTACTTCGAAGTACAGAGACAAAAAACGAAATGTTTAACAGAAACGCAACACCTGCTTCATGCGTCTCGATCTTGCAGCAGCATTTCAGTTATTTGATATTTTTTCCCTTAGATTCTCGCTCTTTTATCTAAACTTACTTAAATTGTATTTCTGGTGAAGTTGAGTGGGAATAGAAGTGCAGGAAAGATTCAATATAAAAAATAGCATATTGTAATTTAATTCAACGTTACAGATGTTCTTCTCTTTCATATTAAGTTCTTGTGGATGTTATTCTTTCTCAAACTGGTGCCATTTGGATATTATGCTTTTTCACATTAAGTCTATGAGAACGATATTTTTATTCGTGTTAAATATTAAAAACATCTGCTGTATGCAAATTCTTGAAAATTTAGAAAAAATTAAGTAATGATATGGAATCAATGTAAAAGAAGTAGAAAAATACCTTCTAAAAAGTAGAAACACGCCAACATCGGCTGTTGCCAGTGGCCGAAGTTAAGAATTCGACCCGAGCTGCATGGAAATTTTTATGGTTTTTGCCGTATATAATATGAATACGTTCCAGTTTCCTGTAAAAGGTCTCTCACGAAGGATCCTTATTTTCAGACAGATAACCTTCGAGCGTTTTGCCATATTCAAATACACATACAGGGAAAATATATGCATAACCATCAATCCATGTATAAAAAAAGTGTAGCGATGCATTTTTGTGTATTGCTATATGGTTTACATTAAAACAAACACAGATCCGTAAGTTAGTTGCGCAAAGTGTATTAATGCAACTTCTTTGTACATTCATACGTGATTTATATTTTAAATAAATATAGAAACATACTTTATTATATAAAGAAGTATAATGATATGTCATCCTTGTATATTGATGTAAGGTTTACATTGTAAACAAACATAGAACCTACTGTCAGTGTACAAAGATGCTTATTGATGTATCTTCTTTGTGTACTCATGTATGATTTACGTTGTAAACAAACATAGAAAAATACCTTAATGCATAAAGATGAATAGTAATGTGTCTTCTTTGTACACGAATGTAAGATTCACATAGTATCCCCTGTATTGCATCAGTACCAGAACTTTCTTTTCAGCAAGAAAGTATAAACAAATAATAACCAATACTTAAAAATTTTGAGATTATACACAAACATGGTACATCAATGTACAAAGAAGCATTGTAATGATGTTTCCTCATATATTGATGAATAATTTACATTATATTTTATCCCTGTAACGATTTAGTTGCTAAAGCGTATCTTCTAAAATTTACGTAAATAAATATTCCAGATCTTTGTAATTGTTTCAGGTTCATTGTTCTGGAATGTTCGAACTCCGACTGGATACATTTGTGAACGAATTTGGCCGCGACGCTGATGGAACCTGTTGCCGAGGTGTCCGGTCGCCTTCCGGAATGTGTTCCGGGACATGCCGGACTAGGTTTAGGGTCTGTCTGAAGCATTATCAGACGACAATAGACCCAAATCCGCCTTGCACTTATGGTGAGGTGCTCACACCTGTTCTGGGAAATAATTCGGTTCGTCTCGAACCTGTTAACGACCTGCAGACGGGATTCGCTAATCCGATTGTGTTCTCCTTCGATTTCTCGTGGGTGGTAAGTTACTTTCTCTTTTATATTTATAGTTAATCATAGCTTTAAAATTTAATTTCAAAATGAAAGGAGGTAACATCCCCCACTAACTTAATTAAAGTAAATTATTTTTAAAATACAGTGTCTCTTAAAAGGTAACTGGAGATTTAATTTCAGAACAATGAGAACGGCACTTATCCCGTTCAAGCAGTAGCTCTAAATAATGCTTCCTATCAAATCCATACTATTAGTGTTTTTTTTTTTTTTTTTTTTTTTTTTTTTTTTTTTTTTTTAAATTTTGGCAGGTTTCATACCATATTGTTATATACATATATTATTTTTTTTATTGCAAATACTTGTGTTCTTTTTTCTTTTTTTTTTTTTTTAATTGAATCTACAAAATGTGCATTTTGTTTTTAGGGAACTTTCTCTCTCATTGTAGAAGCTTGGCACGAAAGTGAACCTAATTCTTCCCCAGGTAAGGAATCCCTTGTTTATTTTTTATTTTATTAAATACGCTGTAATGTGTATTGTGAATTGTCAGTGAGGTTTCTATTTCATTGTGCGTGTAATGATAGTTATATCATTGCTGATAATTATCGCAATTAGTCATAATTATGTCTTCAGCAGCGATAATTATTGGGATGTGCATAATGTTAATTATACTAATGATAATTCATTAGAGACAAGTATCGCGATTAGTAATAATTGCGACTTCTGTAGTGATAATTATGATAATTATGTTCATAATGATAATTCCATTAATGATTGTAATAATTATGGTTTCAACACAGATAATTATCCTAGTGTGCATAATGGTAGTTACATTAGTCATAATTATCGAATTGAAATTTTAAAAAAAGGGAAAAAGCATGAACAGAAAAAACTTCGTCTGTGTTTTCAAGCAGTTTCATTTGAAAAATGAATTATGTAAATTATATGTTATCTAAATTATATCATTATTTAAAACAAAAATAATAAATCATGAATAACGAAAGAATCAGATCATTCGAAATTAAGAAAGCAAATTATGAAGAGCATTAAATAATAACATTTAAGAGAGAATTTAAATGCTAATAGTTCGCAATAGTAATATTTCATTATGATGCTGTCATTAAACAGAAAGTTTTTAAAACAGGGCTGCTCCCGGTATATCGGAATTTGATTCTGATAGTTTCCCTAGACGGAACCATATTAAATCAAAAACATTAAAGAATTATTTCGTAAACAACATTAATTCTATATCATAACTAATGCGCAACCAAAACCACATATCGTCTGCTTACTCCTCACCCTTAAATTGAGCTCACGAACAACAAAAGTACTTTCTTATTATTACTACTACTACTACTATTATTATTATTACCACCATTATTATTATACTATAGCTAGCGACGTAGAACAACTGCGCATGCGCTCAGGTGTTCGGAGCCATCCCTTGCAGGAAAGGAAAACACGAAAAAGAGAGGGAAAACAACAGAAGACAGCAGCGGCGTGGGAACGGAGGGGGGGATAGCGTCTACTCGGGGCCGAAATCGTGTTTTGTGGTCCGTGAAAAGCACCCCCCGCTCCTACTCTTCGACTTAAATGGGGAAGAATTGGGGAAGAATCGCAAATTGAGGCATTTCTTCGTATCCAAGCAACCTTTAACTCAGGGAAATTTATTATGATAAAGAAAGTTCTTTATCATAATTTCCTTGAGTAAATTTCCTTGAGTAAAGTTAAGGATCTACAGCCAAGGTTAGGTATCGTCTGCTTATTCCTCACATGTAAACCGTCCAACGAATAAAGAATATCCGTTCTTTACAGAGAGATGTTAGCAACCGCAGTCGCATAAAATAGTTATTTTAAAAAAAAGGATTTTAATGAGTGCAGCTAGTAATTGATAATAACAGAGAAGGAGACCTGCATATATTGCCTTGAAATTGCTGTGTTTGTTTATCAATAACAGACAGATTAAATTCAACAGAAAAATTAAATTTGAGGCTCTTTACTTAATGGCAAGACACTGGCGCGTGTGGCAGATAAAAATATTTCATTTCGGGTGAGGGCAACACATTTCTTTCAAATCACTGAGTTTGTTGATTAAATTTTTATAACAAACATATTACGCTTTCCCGAATAGCAACTTACTGATTTTAAATCGCTGAGTTTTCTGTTTAAATTTTAAACATAAATATCCTACGAGTGGTAACGCATTGCTTTCAAATCTCCGAGTTTGTTAATTTTGCACAAAGCAGAAAATAAAGAAAGAAAGAAAGAAAGAAAACTGTAAATGGAAACTCCAGGCTTCGAGGTCCCCATGTTCGTGTGGAGAATGTGAGGAATATACATACATGCATAGAACGAAAATAATTTTTGTATCACAACTTGTTTTTCTTCCATAATAAAGTGACTACCACTTCTGGCCTTAATAAAGATCAAGCCGAAGTCGGCTGAAGGCCCGCCGTTGCGGAATATTTATATATATCTGATCCTCGATTGCTGCGACCATGCGAATGAAACTGAAAATTGCAGGTCCGCTAGAATACCCGTGCAAGAAGTTTCTGTATGTCCCCTCATCCGTTTTCTCCAAGACGAGGCTGGCAGACGGTAGCTGCAGTGCAGGCGAGCGAAGGCTAGTGTGGGAAAGCAGCCGCGGGCTAAAAGCCTGTTTCTGATCCATCCCTATGATAAGTACCCTCCCCTCCACACAATGTTGTTAAAAAAATGCGCGGTGTGGGTAGAGCGAAGGCTGCTGATAACTGACGATTAAGGAATTCATATTTGGCGACACATCCGTCAATTGGCGACACTTTAAATCCAATTTTAGTATTTCCAAGGACCAGTTAAAAAGTCCCGGGACGAGCGACTTGGAAAAGAATTTTTTCGCGTCGACGATCGCTTCCCAGGATACTTGGCTTAAAGGTATACAGGTACCCTTAGGAAGCTCGGTATCATTAAGAAAGCAATACTGAGACACTTATATGAAAATCTTCATCTTGGGGAACAGTTGCCTATCTGCATAAAGGTGCCGGCATCTTTGTAATATTTTATCAAGTCCTCTGAGTGGCGGGACACGAAATTTCCTCTTTTCTGCAATGCAGTAAACAATTAAATCGAACAATTATAAATCTGAGCGGTTTGCCGAATGGCAACACATTACTTTTAAATCGCCGAGTTCGATAGCTGAAATTTCCTTAAGTTCGCACCAAAATAAAAACGAAAAAGTAATCGGAATTCAAAACTCTGTCTTCGTGGTGAGTATGTCCGGGTGGACGACTACGAGTGCAAAAATTGAATGGCTGAGGTATAAACAATAATAGACCGCGAAAAGAATCTTGATTCCAGCTTAAGAACGCATTTTCTAAAATAAGCTGGTTTTCAATATACCATAACAAACTTCAGTTGCATAATCATATAAGAATTATTATTGTAATCACCACGGCCCATCCATTTTATGACTAGAATTTGCATTATGCCGTATTACGTTAAATATATGCAAAAAAGACATTGTCATTCATGTATAACGGTACTTGTTGCGATGATGCGGTCGCTATGGTGTTGGCGACGGAAATTCACGCGGTGTTCGCTGATGGCAGCCCTACAGCAGTCAGGTGTATGCGTGCAACAGCACAAGCAGAGCGCCAAGTAAAGTGCTCCAAACGGCCGCGGGAAGGAAAAAAAAAAAAAAAAAAAAGACGAGAGCAGAAAAAGAAGGGGGGAGGTCAGAAGTACCTTAACAGTAGCCAAATTGATTGCATACTTGTTTACTGTTATTCAGTTACTCCCTTTTTATCTGGCGTTTTTCGAATTCTCGCCACAGGTTCTCGAACATCTTTTGGGGAATAGATTAAAGCATCAGAGAACTGCGACACATGTGCACTTTTTGGTTGAGAAGTCGTATCTCGTTTTGCTCTCTTTTAATGGAACTCAAAATCCCGCTTACGAGTCTTACTTTCCCGATGGAAAAAGCTGTCAGAAAATCGTGACTCGAATTCGAAGAGTATAAGAATCGACTTCACGTCTATCTGAATGATTCATATACTGACATCGACTCATCAGATACAAAAAGATTTTACTTCTAATACGGATTCATTAAGAAAAATATTACGTGGCATTTTATTCATTTTAAGATTGTATGCAATTTTATGATTCATTTTCAAGATTAAAAGCATTAATCATGATCGTGACTTGAATTCAAGGAGTTCACGAATCAAGACATGTTTATTTGGGAAATTCATAATGTGTATTCATATTGGCATAGACTCATTTAAGCATCAAAAGATTTTACTTCCACTATTAATCTATTTAGAAATATTATGTAACATTTTTTAAGATTGCTCAATTAATGATTAATTTTCACGATGAAAAATTTTCTAATTAAAAATATTAATTTTGATCGTTTCTTGAATTCAAAGAGTTTACGAATCAAGACGATGAATTCATACACGTGTATTGTACACAGATTTAAGATATTTGTCTTTCAAATTTAATCAACAAACTCGGCAGTTTGAAAGAAATGTGTTGTCAGTTTCCGAAATGAAATATTTAAAAAGTTTAACTATAGTTTAATTATAAGGTTTAACTATAATGTTTATATAATGGTTTCTGTAATGTTTATATAATGGTTTCTGTAATGCTTATAGAACTGTAGTTAACTTATAATTTCTATAATATTTGTAGAACTATAGTTAAACATAGAAAACGAGAATTATAATTTATCAATACACTTAAAAAATATAAATTTAATCGAAACATAGATTCCCGTATTGATAGTGTAGATACGGGGGCTAAAACTCATGACTTGAGGGGATCTTCCAAATGAAATTGAATTTTTTTCACCTAACAATAGACCATAAAGTCACTCCTTCGATTTTTAAATGAGATTCGTTTGGCGAAAAGGCAGGCTAACTGTTGTTTCTTAAGTCGCCTGCTACCCACCCCCCGCACCTTCAGGGTAAGTAATAGGTGGAGCCCCACAAACAGGGAGCTCTTAATGAGGGCCTAGAGCTGCTACCGAACTTTTGCCTCATTCATCAAATGCTCAACAGCAAAAAGCTTTAACCTTCCACTCCCCCTACTTCCACCTCTCTACCAGCCCCTGCGGAAGAAATTCCCGCAAACGATACTGGCAAGTCTTTTCCATTGTGACTCGCCTAGACTTGACTCCCCCCCCCCACATTCGCTGTTTTTAGCGATATTTATTGGGCTGTTAAAGAAGAGATATAATAAGAACTCGCTACGCTTAACTACCTAATTAAGCCGTCGGTTTAGTGGAAGGTTCTTCGAAGTGAATTTGTGCGTGGACTATATTTTCCGAGCATAAGAAATAGTTGTCATGCGATGAAAGGAATGTTTGGGGAAAAATTCAGTTTTGTTTAATCAAACTACAGACTTTTATTTTTGAACAACATGCAGCTCCGATTTTATCTGTCAACTCAAAACCACGGTTAATTCCAGATCGAAAAGCACAGGAGAAGGAATAACTCATAACAT